TATTTGTATATTTATTTATTTCGCACAATATTCAATTGGGTTGTAATAGTATTTTAGGGTTTATTTTTGTGTAATATCCCCATTCAAAAAACTTGTATCCCCCCTCCCATAATAATTGTTGTAATAGCTTAGTTTACTTTTATGCAATTTATCACATTTATACCATATGTAGTAAATTGGGGTTTTGCATGATAAGACAAAAATCAAACAAATAGACATGACCTAATCCAAGACAATCAAAATGCATGTAAAATGACACACATTACACACAAGCACCCTTAGGGTTTCACCCACTTGGTTGCCTAAAAGAAAATGGCCATGGTATGCATGCAAAGTATCTTGGCAAAACAAAACAAAACAAAACAAAAGATCATAGTCCCTCGATGACGCTATCAAAAGGTTGCCTAAAACAAAATGATCTTGGTCCCTCAAAATGCTAAATATACTTGGCAATATTGCTATCATGGTCATACGATGACCCACGCCCGTCCCGTTTAATATCCAAAGATAGGGTTGTTTACCAAAACAATGGTAAATCAACAATGTCAAAGGAACAAAAATGCATAGGAAAGACATTTGAGTAGGGTAGATAGTTCCCAGTTACTTGCTCTCTTCAAAACAATCCTTGCTATTTTCAAACACACACACACACACACATTTCAAAACATTTTCCAAACAACTTTCAAAACATCAAAACATTTTTCAAAATACAAACATCTTTGTATACATTCTTACGAACGAGAATCATTACAAAGATTGCCTAAACGAGTGGCCTCTTTTCAAAATACTTTCAAAATCACACCAAACACAAAGCACCATTTCAAACAATTTCAAAATCAAAGTAAGTGATCTAAGCAAGTAACTAAGAGCCCATGGAAAACCATGGATGAAAAGGGTGTAATACCTTCCCTTTTCATAATCTACCCCCCGAACTCAAGAAAATATCTCAAAGGTCTTTCCTGTGCTTTTTACCTTTCCTTTTGGATAAAATAAAAGTCGGTGGTGACTCTTGCTAAACTGCGACGTTTGCGACGAAACGCAAAACCTCAAGTCAGTTCTCCCACCGTATCACATCACTCAATATAATTTTTGTTACTGAAGTATGTGTATGATTTTATAAATGTCGTGATATGCTCTTTTGGGATTTTATGATTATTTTAGGATTGGTATGAAAATTTGTGATATTTTGTGGTAATTTGGGACTCATATGATTGTCTGTGTTTTTGAGATCAATTGGGAATTGTATTTTTCTGTGATGTCTGTGAATTCCTGAGCAACCTTTTGGGTCTGTTTTCCCATTTGATTTTTATTTAGTATGTAGTATTATAAAATATTTTCTTGTAATAATTCTTAATCTACTTAACACTTTTATTTACGCCCTCTTTATTTGCTTAATTTTTAACGAAGTGTAGTGGCATAATCTGCTTGAATGTCAGTTTAGATGTGACATATTTGATTTCCTTCGTTTATGTAACATCCCAAATTTTAGATTCAATTATTTAATTGATTAGTTGTGAATTATTGATGATTATCTGTGTGATGTATGTGTGGTATGTTGTGGGGTAGTGGTGGATTAAAGTGTTAATTAAAACTATTTATATTTGCCTATTAAAAAAAGAATTATTTATATTTAAATAATTTTGGTGATATTATTTAGAGTTATAATAATAATTAAATAGAAATATTATTTTAAGGTGAAAAGGGAGAATAGGGACATGGTGGTAATATATGATAATAAGTGAATGTATAAAGGGAATAACATAGAAATAGTCTGAAGCAACCAGTTGAAATATCATCGAGATAAAATCAATGAAGTCTCCATTGAAGGTTTTTTATCCCACGGGAAGGAAAAGGTAAACGTCGATTAAATTTGAGAAGGATGAAATCACGACCAAACGACCGAGAGATCGGGTAAGGGAGTCTATTACGCGAGAGGAAGGTATTATTACCACACACCCTCGTAGTACTCTACGGTATCCACTTTTGTTATTCTAATCAAAGAATGTGTTCAAATCTAAATCTTAAGAGCTAAGGATAAAAGTGAAAAAAGGGAATGCATGCGAAAGAAAACACGAGGAAAAGAAGGAAATTTTTACAAAGTTTCGCTCGGCCGAGCCTCGTGACCGGTTGCCTACGTATCCTTTTTAAGGAATCAGAGCATCGTAGTTCGGCTCACATGTTTAAGCTTGTTTTGTGTTTTTTAATGAATATTAATTTCGCCTTCTGTCGCAACTCAACCTTTGGAGATTCACATGTCAGCACATAAGTGAATCAACATGTTCTTTTGAAAAGTTTGAAAGAAAGGGCCTGAGAGCTAAAAGAGTTTGCATCATTTGACGTTTTTTACCTTAAAGAAGTATTTGAAAGTTTTTAGATGTTTTATGCATTTTCCAAGAAAAGAGGTTTTAGTCTTAATGTAAGGATGCAAAAGAAAGAAAAACATCTAAGAGAAACTAGCTAGAATATCTCTAATATTATCATACAATGATTTATCTTAAGGTTGATTTTTGAAAGGGAAATCTCTATACTATGTTAGCATGCATGGATTACAATCCTAATGTTTATCTCAAATCACCGCCAAAGGATGAACCTATAACTATTAAGGGAACATAGCAAAGGTTAACAACCTAAACCTACATCTATCTCAAATCACCACCAAAGGGTGAATCAAGAGCTCCTACGGGAACATTCCAAAGGTTTACAACCTAAGAAAACATGTACGCAAGGATGGAAAGCAAGTAATCAACAAGCTCAAGAGAGCACACACATGTCATGAGTAGCACACGCTAACTCAAGTCAAAATGCATAACCAATATATTGAATCATCGAGGTAGGATAGGGTAAGCTTTAGCCAAGAGGTCATATCAACCGAGGCAAACAAGCGGGGTATGATATGGGAAGCTTTAGCCAAGGGGTCATATCAACCGAGGCAAAGAAGTTATACGTGGAAACAAAGAGTTTGTACCATGGCATCATATTACCAGGCAAGAAGAGTAAGTGGGAGTGAAAAAACACGGAGCATCAACATCGCCTGATATGAGCTCAAGACAAAATATAGGGGTTTGATTGTAAAATCCTTTTCCACTTGACAACTCGATAATAAGAGTAGGCACAACTCCGAGGCATCATGGTGCGTCACAAGCTAAGGATGACAAGGACGAAATGCAGAGGTTGAATACGAACCCTCTCTTCTAGCCTCCTTTTGAGGACTTATCAATGGGAAATGGGAATGGGCTGCCTCTTTTTGAGGTCTTTAGGCACAAATGTAAACACACAACAGAAACGCCTACTTCGAAGTAGGTCTTCAAACAAACGACAAACACAATTAGCAACCAAATACAGAATTTCTACTACAAGACTTTTAAACAGCGACTTCGAGCGCACGCTCTTTATTTCATACTTCTCATGATATCTAAAAAGCGGTAAAGTGCAGATATATAAATCAGAATCATAATGATACCGAATGAACAAAATTTCATAGCACAACAAGCATAGCAGAGAAACCCGGAAAACTTCGAGCAAGCCTCACCAATCAATAAAGAAGAGTCAGAAATCAAATGCTTAGAATAAGCGTCGAAGCATCATCGATGTGAAAATAAATCATAATCGAAAACTCAAGCATATCCGCATATCGCACGATAAACCTGGATAAGACTCAAATCTCAACAAGCAAAGGTGAATCACAAATCTCAAGTAATAAGATAATCATGATTTAATTCCTAAAATCAAATAAAAATATCTAATAAATTTTTATTGATCTTATCATTTTTTTATCATGAAACAAAAAATTAGAAAAAATTAAAAGAAAGTCTTAACTTCTACATATTTTTTATTGTTCTTATTAGTTTCTAAAATCACTAATTTTTATTTTAAAAAATGAGCAAGAAAATTTAAGAAAAACTCTAAAATTCTAAACATGAGGGGTGAGAATTGGAATCAGGGGCGTGAATGGAAAGCAGGCGCAAGGCCCAAGTCAAGATCTAACTCTAACAACAACACCAATCCAGATTGTTATTTTCTTTCAATTTGTTATTACCACCAAAAAAAGGAAATGATGGGCTTAGGGAAGGATTTGGTCTGATAACATAAACACCGGGCCCCAATCACCATGACAAAGTCCAATTCAACATTATTATTATTTTAGATTTTTTTTGTATTATTATTGATATCTATTAAAAGAAAATAATGCGCAAAGAAAACAAATAAAAGAGGATTATGTTTTTTTTTTCAATGTGACGATTCAACTCTCAGGGAAGTAATCATCTTCTCCTCATACTCAATTGCGCCACTCGCAACCTTCTTGCTTCATCGTCGTAGCCTCAACCTTCTCTGATTCCTCATCTCTCACTCACTTCTCTCAATCATCGTAGGCGACCGTTCATCCTTTTGTAATGCATCGATGTGCGATTTGATGTTATAACAAACTGATATTGGCGATGAAGATGTTGCGCAGAGGAGAGAGAGGCAGGTTTTGTAATGATGAACGAGAATGATGAAGATGAAGCTTTTGATGATGATTATTGAAGAATTCAGCTCCGAGGATGCAGAGAGATGAGAGAATTTTTCTGGAGTTTTTGGTGATTCTTCTCCAAGTGGCGAAGAATGATGAAGATGAGAGGAGAAGAGAGAGTTTTGGAGTTTTTTGGTTTGGTGATTCTTCCCAATGATTGAAGAATGAATCCCTTCAAAGGTAATTTTCTGTTATAAAATTGTTATGAGTTTGTTAGGAGTTAACCTCTCTCCATCGTTAGATTGAAATTCTGTTACCAAAACTTGATGGTGAGATTTTTCTGAGGCTGAGCTATTATTTCATTTTTCTGATTTTATTCCTCCTTGTTTTTCTGTTTTAATATTCACGAACCTGTTCCTCAGTTTTTGCATTTTCTGATTTATATCTCATTATATTTTCTGATTTCTATTATGATATTTCTGTTGTGGTTTATATTCTGATTTTCTCCTCAACTTGATGAATTGGCCTGATAGCCTTGAATGTGACTTAGTTAATAAATAAGGGAGACGGTGTTTTTTTTCTGAGTTTGTAATGTATAGATGACAGCTTGTGGTATGTATTGAGGTATATATGCTTGGATTTCGTTTAGACATGAGTATGACTGCATAACAATATCTTTTTGTTCAGTTTGATGGACTTGACTTATGTTGAACGTATGTGTAAAAATAGGAAAGGGATTGTAATGTCCTGATGTGATACTGATATTGCATCCCTTTTGTGTCATGATGCATGATGGTTTATCAAAAAGCAAGGTCCGTGTAGAGTTCATTTATGACTTGGTGAATTCTTAGCTTGATATTGCATAAGAAATATGTGTGGCTAATTGGTGCAGCACAACATGATAGATTCTCGTGAGATCCGATGAGTGTAGATATGTAACATAGTATAACAATGAATGTGATGGAATTTACTTGGTGTTTGGTGTTTGGTTTGTATATGCTGAAACTGATGTGATGGTTTATTTACTGGTTATATGCAAGTTGTTATGGCAAGGATACGAGTTCAAACTGCTTTCAAAAGAAGCATGCATGAAGCTGAGCTGAACTGTTTCCGGATTATGTAGGATATGATTTCTCATGGTAAGGCATCTATTAAGATGGAGAAAATTGTATGAAGAGGTGTAGGCTTGAACATGGTGCAAAGTTTGGATTTCAAGTAGCTTAGAAACCTAGGCTTAGGCGTTTGGTTTAGAAATAAACTTGTAATGTTAAAGCGTGCTTATAGTTTGTATATTTGTATGTAAACGGATCATGAATGAAGTTTAGAACTTGAATGCGCCTTTAATGATTGAAAGCTTTTATTTGTTTGAAAAACTTTTGAATGGGTCTTGTACGAAACTTGTAGAGATTACTGAATAACAAGGAATTTGATAAGATCTGCATTAAACAATGAATGATATCCGTATGAATCTAGATGACCTTTGAACCAAGCTTGACAAATTCCTTGAAACTATAAACTTGAAATTGAATGAACTTTGGCCTTTTGGTATAGCTTGAATGATATTTAAATGCTTTGAACATTTGGAACATAGATGAAACCTATTTTGATGGAACTTGAATAAGCGTTGATGGAATTTGATTGTAATTTTCCAAGATATTGAACATAAATTGAATGGACTTTCTCAATACTTAGATCATGCTTGCTTTTTGCACACTTTTATATGAACATATTGATCCATTCCATCTAGTTAACCTTTGCATTTTAATGATAAAACTCCAAGTATTTCAAATAAACTTCTCTTTAACCATGAATTTGAATTAAATCATGACATCTGAATGACATTCACCTTCCTCTAAATTCAATTAACTTTTGCACACCCAATCTTGAAACCAAAGACCTTGAATGAAATCCAAAAGAAAAGGCTTGTACCAATTGTCCGCAGTGCCTTGAATCTCAAGCAACCAAACTTATCATACAAAATATCTTGAATCATAATGTACTCAACCCTAATTGATTGACTTAGGAATAGATGAACTCAATGCAACAATGACATAGTCAGCAACCTATATCCCAAGTAACACATGAATCTTGGACTGGTGAAAAATTGATCCTTTAGAGAAATCTTAATACACCTCTAGTATTGACAAAACCTTGACCAAATGATAAGCACAATAATAGAATGAGGTGTCTTGATTCAAAGACCATGTATGCGAGATCACAAACTTGAGTTTTTTTTTAAAAGAAGACCCTGCCACTTGATGCTTAGAAGAACATAATAGATTTGTAACTTGTTGAAGAAAAGATCCACAACAACCAGGAATCAAAACCCTAATTCCATACTTCACAGCTTAGAGAACCAGAATAATCAAAATTATTGGATATGTCTCACACCAAAAGAAAACCCTAATCTTATATCCTTATTGATATTTTGAACCTCAAGTGCTTTATTAAAATGCAAATGTATGTTATGTTATTGTAGACGACCTAATGGAAGGATGCAAATGCAAAGTCTAAGCCCGATAATAATATATTAGGAGGGAAAATTTTGGGGTGCAATAGGGTCCAAGAGGTAAAAAGAGAAAATATAAGAATAGAGATCATATTGTACGATCGTAGATTGGGAGAGCGCGAGGAAAAGTTAGGGCACAGAGAGAATGAGGAGAACAGATTCATTCCTCGGCGTCCAAAGAGATTAAGCTCCTATAATAACAAGGTAAAAGGTTTAATCTCGGTTTATTATGAATGATAGGGGGTTAAGGTAGATGTAGTTTTTTCCTTGTATGTTGATTTTATGTGAAACATGATGTAAGTGTTGATTTTATGATGTTTGTATGCCATGAACTGTGTTCAATATGATATGTGATATATGATGTTTGCACTGTGTTTTGGAACTGAGTTTGATGTGAAATCGGAATTTGGAATGGGTTTGGACAGTGCATAAATTACAACTGAGAAGTTGTTGTTTTGCAAGCGTTATCGGGCGAGCCAGCGACAAGCATAGTGGCAAGCCAGTAGCCCTAACATCGTCGGGCGAGCCATCTAGAGAGCAAAAAGGTAGAAAAGGTGAGCTCCTGGAAAATGTATGGAGTGGGACACATCGTCAGGAGAGGAGGTGGCGAGCAGAGGCGTCGATCGAGGAGGTGGAGAGCAGACCTGATAGTAACTTCAAAATGTTATTACTTGAGTTTCAAGAATTCGTTTGATGCGTTGTTCAAAGCACTGGGAAGATGGTGTGTTGAACTATAATATGATAGAATTATATGAGCTAGTTGATGCATGATTATAACACCTATTTGTTTATGAGATTGATTTATTATATGTTGTTATGCTTTGATGTCCGATTTAAATGATGGATATGATGTTGCTATGTAGTGTTATGAAGTTCTATGACCTTGTTGTGATGTAACTGATGTGATTCATGATGATGTTGTAATGATATGGATGTTTAATGTATTTACATGTTATGTGAAGATGATTATGTGAATTATGTTGCACTTGACTAGCCGTGGTCGAATTTTATATGACATTGTTGTACATCACACATTCATAGCATTTTTAGACGGTGATCCGCTTATGACGAGCCTCAATCCCATTGAATGGATTGTGAGTGTTTATGATGTGCTCTGGTTCCAAGAGGGAATCAATCCTATGGTGGGGATTATAGAGGGCTATGAACCAGGTATTCACAAAATATTGGTACCACGTGCATTGAGTTAGTGTTGTTCCATTAACATTTTATGTGACATTGCATAAATTTATTGATGAGTTGTGATGTGATGAGAATTGTGAACTATGTGAGTATATGATGATTATTATGATATATTATGTGTAAGTATTATCATGATGTATCGATGAGTATGAATTATTAATGAATAATATGTGTTGTTATATGATGATGTTGTATATATTACTAATCTTTTCCTTATATCTTTTATAATGAATTGTAATTACTCACCCTTTCTGTTTGAATGTTGCCTCCATGAGGGTAACGTGCAGGTGATCAGGAGTATTTTATAGAAGCGTTGAATATAGCTTCACAGTGTTTTATTTATTTTGTGAAATTAGAGGTTTCTTACTCTGATATGTAACATCGGGTTGGGAACGCTATGTTTTGTGAATGACGTTACTTTTGTTGACATGTTTTTATGAGATTTCTAGATGCTAAAGCGGTTTAATTGTACCTTTGATAAGATTGTTGTACTTGAGTTTTGAAATATGAATGAAGTTTACTTTATGATTATGATATCCGCTGTGAAGTTTTCACTGATGTGTTGATGTTATCAAAGAGAATGATGTCATAACTGTTGTAACCCATGCTACAGAGCAGGATTAGTATTATGATGTTTTCTATGAAGTGTGACACCCTTGAGTGGTGATATTTATTCGATTTAATTTGCAATTTATATGAGAAATTCATGTGAGATTATAAGGATGTTACAGTTTACATTTTAGTTTCATGTGCTTTGATATGTAACACTCAGGGAATATCTATCTTTTATATCTTATTATGTTGATTAGAGAGTGAATGTATACTCTCATTACCTGAGGTTTTGATGTTTTGAAGAAATTCTACTTATGGTTATGAGTTTATTATAAAGTGTTTTGAAAGTTTAAAGTTAATTGAGTAGCATGTTTTACATTCAAATTTCATTGTGATAATACCTTAAGTGAAGGTGAGCATGTGATGATAGGAGTTGTTTGTCTAATAGTTTTAAAACTATATGACTAAATGTTTTCAGAGTAGGCGAATTGTGTTTTAAGAGACTGTGTAGCATCCTTGAGTTTTGTATAATTATATAAGTTATGTGTTATAATTACGTGCATAATAAATAAGGTGTTACATAGTTGGTATCAGAGCAGGTCGGCTCATCCGACCAGGTTTTTCATGATGTTTGTTCCCTTGTATGTGATAAGTGTATGCGAACAATGTCGATACTTTGCTTCTTTTGATGTTGGTTTGTTTGTTTGTTGGAATCGCCAGAGTTATGGTTGGAGGAAGGAACGCTGATGCAATTGCTGAGGCTTTGGAGTCGTTGGCTCAAGCAATGGCTCAGAATTAGCATAACAATCAAAATGTTGGAGAGAATGATGAGTTACGTTGTTGTACCCCAAAATTTGCCCTCTCAATTATCAAGGCCTTTCTCACAAGGATTCTCAAGGTTCAAGCTTGAACAAGTGCATTTAGATTTTCCAATACCAAAATTAAAAAGAAACTGTCAAAAATGGAGAAAACAGATAAAAATATTATTTTGACAAAAATTGGAGAAATACAAGTGTTCTTCGTTTCAGCTCCTTCGATTGGCCTTTAGGCCTCTTTCGATCAGCATCCTTCGATTGACTCTTGGCCTCCTTCGATTTCTTAAAGTGGCTGCTAGCGTGCCTCTTTCGCCTGGGCATGTGACTTCTTGTTGCAGGTTTCGTTTGTGTCTTTTGCTGCCTGCATGCTTGCAATCGAAGGCCATGACCTACTGGTCACATGTACCCCCTGCAAGGGCACTCACCTTCTGTGTGCCTGGATGAAAACTTCAGTTGAGCAAGAGCCTCCTTCGAATGCAACTTGGATTACATCCTTCGTTCTGTGCAACAGCTTCCTTCGAGTTAACTTGTTTCGACCACAAGCTTCGACTGAGGCAAAGACTTCCTTCGATTCCAAGGCAAAAAGCTCCCTTTTAATGTCCTTCGATCTAGGAGGAAAAAGCCTCTCTTTTGCCCTCTTTCGATCACACATCCTGCCCTTGCATGCATTTTTCGTTTGGGGGAGTGACTTCTCCAACGTTGCAAGCTTCGATTGAGCCTTCCATCCAAAGAGCATTAATTTGGCCCATTCGA